GTTTCCGCTGTTAAAAGGGGGGGGGGGAGAAGGAATGAGAAACCGTTAAAAGCAGATGGCTTCTTATCACAGGCACTGGAATGTGCAAGGTCGTATTAGCGAGGGAATCAGAAGACCAAGAACTAAGGGTGGTGAAGGGGGGGGAGGGTAAGGTAAGAAAAACAACTTTTGGCGCGCTTATGCTCAGTCTTAGCAATGCTTTGGAACCGTACACTTATTTTCAATAAATGAACTTTCTTTTGAATCAATATTGGTTGCAAGGAAAGTTACTGGAATTGGGATCAATAGGTGGCAGCTCATTACACACATACTGATGAAGCGATCTCTTGACTGGTTGCATCTGGTGTTGGCAAGCCTAAATTGACATGGCATGGAAGCTGGGCATTGCACAGGATCTTTGTCTTGATTTATAATTATTGGAGTTTTCTATCTATTCTTCTTTTGGGAAGGGAACCATTTTAAATTCAGGGTCATTTTCCTTTTGGAAATGTATTTTGGGGAAATACTGTATTTTGGGGAAATAAAGTAGAAAGAAACTAGGAAAAACAGTTTAAAACCATCTAGTATATTAATCTAGACACCAGATGCATTAAGAAAGTCCATGCAATCAATGCCATTTAGCTATTCTAATACAAAAATTTGCCAACATTAAATTATCAGGTGTTCAACTACTTTCTATTCTTCAGTTCTGAATGTGTATTTAACTGTCATGAAATAATGAAGATAAGTACTTGCTGAACAGGCTTCAGGGATTTGGGAGGCATTGTTTTGCAGTAGATTTCCTCCTTCTTCTGTGGCTGGTTCCAGTCAGTGTTAGTGGGAGAAGAGAGGTCTAGCCCTAGCCCCTGCAATGTGGAATGCCTCAGGGTCCCTCACCACTCATCTTTAACACTTATATGAAATGGCTAGGTGACGTCATTCAACAGGATGCAGTATGCAGTAACATTAGTACACTCCACTCAATCAATCAATCAACCAATGTACTGTATACTGGCCTTTTACTGTGTTTTGCCTTGGACTGTATATTAACTTTGACTGACTGACTGATTGATTGTTACAAATCCACCCCTTGCCAGGCAGGTGATGCCATTTCAGTGCTGACCCAGTACTTCAAGGCTGTGAGGGTCTGGGCAGAAAGGAGCCGTCTTTTACTCAACCCTATAGTCTGTAAGTGAAATAGGATTCTGTGCTGGAGTTCTGTTTCTTAATTCCTTAACCTAGACTGTACAATTTCCCTACAGACTTGCAATTTCTGATTTTCTGATCTCTGCTTTAGATGCAAAGCACACTTACTTTACTATAGGACTTACCTGAACTTTTTTCACAAGCCCTTTCTTTTTCTGTTTACTATCATTAAAGTTGTCTGGTAGAATCTGGGGAAGAACAAAAACAAACTGACGTTCCATGATATTGAAAGCCACATATAAAGTCATATGCCTAAGCACAGTTCCCACAATAGCTGCTTTAATAACACCATAATACAAATAAATAACTGAAACAACAACCAAGCAGAATCAGTCAGTTCTATAAACTATTCACTAAATAATCAGTCCTAATATATCACATGGCATGAGTACAATTCTCCATAAAGCACTGCAGAACCGTTATACAATATTTACTTCTCACATTCTTTCAGTCAAAATCGAGCTTTGTTAAGCTGCAGCTCTCAGATTCTCCTCATTAGCTTTGGAGAACATTTTTTATCTTGGAGCGCTTGTTATTTAACTGGTAAGTCGATACCTGATCTGCTTTTCCTATTATTAAGTGTTGACTTGTGGTGGAGGAATAATGGCTCCAAAAGCTTACCAACAGGGGAAAAAAATTCCCTGCTCCCACTTTATCTGCTAAGGAGAAATGTTATCTATAAATATGTTTGGAAATGAAGGCTTTAAAAAAGCTGACAATAAACTGCTTATAAATTTTGATGAATTAGAAAGAGTCATTCTACTTCCAGATCCTATCAATAGTCCTGAGAGGGGAAAAAAACTTTATTTGGAACTTTTGGTGTTTTGAAATCTCTTCAGGATTTATAAAAATATTCAGCCAATATTGACACAATCTTGCAGAACATATGTTTCTTTCATAAAGATATGAAAGTGTTAAAGATAATTGCATGAGACAAGGATTTGAAAACAAATAAGAAAAGCACTAAAGAAATAGTTCAGAAACTTAAGATTTTGGAATACTAAGATCAGCCACTAAAGGCCTTTATAGAAATGTTTTTCAGTAAGCTTTTTTCACAAGAGGAATGCAAGCTGGAAATTAATCCACATATCATGTGAGGTTTTGCTTTAATTTAAAATTGAGGCCATGTTTAGTTAATTAAATTCCTTTGATCAGCAACTGAATCTTTGAGTGGGTAAGGCACTAGGCTAGAAAGCAGGAAGCTGAGTTCTAGTCCCACCTTAAGCATGAAAGTCGGCTGGGTGACTTTGGGCCAGTCACTCTCTCTCAGCCCAACCCACCTCACAGAGTTGTTGTAGTGGGGAAAATAGGAGGAAAGAGTATTGGTATGTTCACCACCTTGAGTTATTTAGAAAAATAATAAAGGTGGGATAAAAAATCTTTTTAAAAAACCTCAAAATAGTATTTTGCAGTTCACTTGATAATATGTTCTTTGGAAAACACTGAAATAATTATTTTTCCTAATCTGCCTTCTCAGATAATTAACAATTCAATGAGATTCTTCTTGCAGCAAGACAGAAATGGATAGAGAACGTTTTTCTTTACATTTTTTTTCTTATCTCTAGAATCTGGGGAGAAAAAACTCTGTGATCCAAATGCTGCTAAGTTCATAGAAGAGATCAGAGGAAGAAAATAAATAGCAATGTGTATATATAAATGGAATTATGTTTATAATTTTTTATTATAGATGGGCTCCTTAACTTAAGGGAAGTGTCTGTGTTGTAGCTCAGACATGTCCCTTCCAAATTATATTTTTGCTTTTTAAAACTTTTGAATTAATTTTACTATTTTATTGGAATGTTTTAAATGTTCATTTTCTTTCATTGTAATAATTGTGTGCTTTTATTTTTTTTTCCTTGCCCCACAGAAATTTATTTTATTAGATTTATATCCCAGCTTTTTGTACAGGAGCTGAAAGCAGCGTACATAGCACTCTTTCTACCTATTTTTCTCCATAGCAACAGCCCTGTGAGACAGATTAGGCTGAGAGAGTGCGACTGCTGCAAAGCACCCAGTGAGCTTGTATGGCTAAGGGTGGATTGGAACCTGTGTCTCCCCACTTCTAGTCCAACATCTTAACCACTACATCACACTAGCTCTCTTTAGTTTCTCCTGTCATGGAATCCTATTTATTATCACTTTGAGTTTATTAAAATACATTTTGTTCAAATCCAAGCTACACACAACTTTAGTTGTCCTTAAAATCAAGAACTCTTTCAATGTTCCACTTCATTTACTAAGTATTTTTTGTAGATTAGGACCAAGTTAAGGGTACATGCTCTTCTTGTTTGTTTGTTTGTTTGTTTAGCATATTAAGGCAACCAGAAAAATACAAGGCAATTTACATTAAAAACTCAATATAAACAATCAGAATGCAAAATATATAAAACTTAAACAATGCTACGGGATAGTTATAATGTCAACCATTCCTGTCTTGGTGAGATCACAAAACACTCTGTGCATTCCTTTACCCTCTGAAGGAAGAAGTTGCTCACAAAACAGATCAGGAATTTCCTAGAACGAGCATAACTAGCAGTTTGTTTCCCAGCTTAATGAAATGTCAGCTTAATGAAAATCCCTATCACCGCTACTTCATTTCCACTGAAACATCTACAATTTGTTTCTGGAAAGTATCATTCACAATTTCTTTTTGGTTGGATGCTAGATTTTTTTATTTTTTTATTTTGGGTGACGGTAGATACCAACACCAGTATTCTTTTATTTATTCCCTTTTTATTTTAACCCAGATACTTTCTATAGTATTGCCAAGTTTATTCATTAGGGTTTCTGGCTGGTATTTTTTTTAACATATAGTTAACTATTCCTCCTTTCTATTGCTTCTGTTACTTTTGCACATTGTATCCTTCAATTGTTATATTCTAATCATGGAATTCTTCCTACAAGACTGCAAGTTCCTAAACACTCCTCAGTGATCTTGCTGTTTCATTTTACAGAGAGCTGAATAAGAGACAAAGGGATTAATTCTCCTAGGTCTGATTCTAATCAAAATGAAAGAGTTAAAAACAGTGGGAACTTTGGAAGGAATGATCCTATCATCTTAAGGTTCAAATAATTACAGAAAGAGAAAGCAGGGCATTAATGTGTTGTAAATGCACATTAGATTTCAGGAGAGCCAATTTAGAGAAATACCAGGCAGGATCTCATGGACAGAAATCTTCAGGTCCAATGAAGCATAGGAGGGTTGGGAATTTCACAAGAATAAGATAGTTGAAATAAAATGCTGTTTCAATGAGAAGTGGGGGCAATTTAGAAAACAATTATGGATGCATAGGAATCTTGACTGAATTAAGAGTTAAAAGGGTTTTTAATTTTAATTTTTAGAAAATGAAAGAAGGGGATAATTATCAAGGCTGTGCCGGTTGATAACCGCAATAAAGTCATTTCTTTCTTATCAAGGAGTTTTACCATCAGGTAGCTAAGATATAAAGAAATAAAGTTACGATGGCTATAGTGCAAAAGGAACTTGAGCTTGCAAGGGAAGCTAAAAGCAATATAATTTTTTTGGCTATGTCAACAGCAAAATGAAGAAAAAGAGCAGAGTGGACCTGCTGCTGGAGGGATGGTCGGATATCAACAAGTGATACTATTTTGTTTCAGTCTTCTCCTCCAAGGGGAAAGTGTGTTTAAATGGACCGAGGCAGAACAATTGGAAAAATAATTGGTAAGAAAGGAGATACTGTAGATATGGAGCACCTGGTTACTATGAATGAGTTTAAGTATTCAGGATTAGACCAATTATATTCCAGAGACTTGAAAGAGTTTGGAGATATCATCTCCAAGCCTCTTTCTGTGATCTTGGTACAATCATGGAATACAGGCATAGTGACAGAGGGCTGGAGAAGTGCAAATGTTGTTCCTGTCTTCAAAAGGGAGAAATAAAGGAGATCTGGTAACTATAGGCCAGTCAACTTGACATCAATACTGAGTAAATAAATTATAAGGCAATTCATTTGTATTTTGAAAAGAATGCATTGCTTGGCAGGAACAGCATGTGCTTATCAAGTGCTTATCATTCCAAACCAAGCAAATCTCCTTTTTTTAACAGAGTCACTTTTTAGTTGATCTCAGAAACACAGTGGACATGATGTACTTAGAAAACAATCTCCCATTTTATTCTAATATAGAAGATTGCAAAACGTGGGTTGGACTATGTTACCTTTAAATAAATACAGAGCTGGTTGAATGACTATACCCTGTGAGTGTGCATCAGTAGCTCTGTATTAAGAGAGAGAGAAATGTCAAGTCACACAACCTTGTTCTAGGTATTGTGTCTTAAGTGTATTTATAAATTACTTGTATAAGAGTATTAGAAAGTATGATAAACAAATTTGCAGTTCACACAAAAATGAGAAGGATAGCAAAAAGAACAGTATCAAGGTTCAGGAGATCTTGACAAGCTGGAACACTGGGTAAACTCCATCAAGTTGAATTTTATTTGGGTAGGAAAAATCAAAGGCATGACATGCAGTAAGGATCTAGATGCCTTGGTGGCTCACAAGCTGAACACAAGCCAACTGTGTGAGACAACTGGGCAAAAAAACCCAAATGCAGTTTTTAGTTGTATCAACAGATGTACAATATGAAGTTCAAGAAAAATCTTTTCTCTCTATTCTGTATTGGGCAACCTGCACTTAGAATACTGCATCCAGTCTACTTATAATAAACAGTTGGAGGCGTTGCGATGTTTAGCATGGAGAAGAGAAGACTCCGGGAAGACCTAATAGCTGTCTTCAAATACCTGATGGACTGCCATATAGAAGATGAGGCAGAATTGTTCACAGTTGTTAAGAAGTCAGGACAAGAAACAATGGTTTTAAATTGCAAAGAAAATTACAGGCTCCTGCCCTTTTCCCTGGGAGCCAGCAGGCCTCCACTCTTTTAGCGTTTTGGAAAGCTATAAAGTCTTCCCCTTAATGCTGTGATAGGGTAAGATGGGAGCCTGGGGATGGTTCTGTTGGATGCATCTATTAGATACAAAGGACAGGAAGGCCTGGCGCAATATGGTTCATGGGGTCACGAAGAGTCGGACATGACTAAACGACTGAACAACAACAACAATTAGATACAAAAACTAAAACTTTGTTTTTATTGTTTTCTGGTTTTTGTTGTTGTTGTTGTGAGCTGCCCAGAGTTATATTTTTAAGATGGGTGGCCACATAAATCTTTT